GACATAAATTTCATTATGTACCGTATTGCATGACCACGCAATTGTCCGTTAATACTATGCACAGCGCTGTATAGCAAAAAAAATGGCGTAAATTGCAGTACCATAGTTTGTAGACACTATAACTTTCACACAAAGCAATCAATATACACTTATTGGGATTTTGTACCAAAAACATGTAGCAGAATACATTTTGGCCTAAATTTATAACCAACTTTAAGTTTACTATGTACTATACTGTTTACTATAAGTTTACTCTGCAGGTCAAGTGGTTAATTTCTCTCTCTCTCTCTCTCTCTCTCTCCCCTCATCTCTCTCTCCTCATCTCTCTCCCCCCTTCCTTTCCTTCCTCCATCCCTCCTTTTATCTCTCCTCCCTCCCCTCCTTTCATTCTCTTCCTTCCTCCCTTCCTTCATTCCTTTCTCCTTCCATTCCTTCCCTCCCTTTTCCTTCCTTCCTTCCTTCCTTCATTCCCTCCCTTCTTTCCTCCCTTCCTTCCCTCCCTTTTCTTCCTTCCTCCCTTCCTTCATTCCTTCCTCCATCCATTCCTTTCTTCCTTTATCCATTCCCCTCCCTCCCTTTTCTTCCTTCTCCATCCCCTCCCTTCATTCTTTCCTTCCCTCCCTCCCTACCTCTTTCCCTTCCTTCCTTTCGCTCTCCCTCCCTCCCTCCCTTCTTTCCTTCATCTATTTCATCCCTTCCTTTTTTTTCTTCCTTCCTTCCTTCCTTCCTTCCTCCCTCCCCTTCTTCCTTCCCTCCCCTCCTTTCATTCCCATCCATTTTCTTTCTTCCTTCCTTCCTTCCTTCCTTCCTCCATTCCCTCCCTCCCTTTTCTTCCTTACCTTCATTCCTTCCTCTATCCCCTCTCTTCATTTTTTTCCTTCCCTTCCTCCCCATCTTTCAATCATTCCTTCCTTTCTTCCCCCCTTCCCTCCCCTTCCTTCAATCCTTCCTTCCTTTCCTCTCCCTTCCTCCCTCCCTCCCTCCCTTCATTCCTTCCTTCCTTCCTCCATCCCCTCCCTTCATTCTTTCCTCCCTCGCTCCCCTCCTTTAATTTCCTTCCTTCCTCCCTCCCCTTCCTTCCTTCCCTCCCTTTCCTTCATTCCTTACTCCATCCATTGCCTTCCTTCCTACCTCCAGCTATTTTCCTCCCTTTTCTTCCTTCCTTCCTTCATTCCTTCCTTCCTTCATTCCTTCCTTCCTTCCAACATCAAATCCCTCCCTCCATTTTCTCTTCCTTCCTTCCCTCTTTCCATTCCTCCTTCCTTCTCCTTTTCTTCCTTTCTCCATCTATTCCCTCCCTTTTCTTCCTTCCTTCCTTCCTTCCTCCCCCTCCCTGTCTTCTCCATCCACTCCCTCCCCCCCTTCCTAACTTCCTCCCTTTCCCTCTTTTCCTTCATTCCTTCCTCCATCCATTTTCTTTCCTTCCTTCCTCCATCCATTCCCTCCCTCCCTTTTCTTCTTTCCCTTTCTTTTCCATCCCCTCCCTTCATTCTTTCCTCCCACCCCTCCTTCCTTTCCTCCCCTTTCTTCCTCCATCCATTCCCTCCCTCCCCTTTCTTTCTTCCTTCCTTCCTTCCCTC